TCATCTGCCAGTTCTCCATTCTGTTAGACTCAGCTCTCCGCTTCCCTCTCCAGCCTTTCCTCTCTGCTTCCTTTGGATCCCCTTTCATCTCACCTTCCCTCGCCCTGCCCTTCCCACCATCCTCTCCAGTGCTGCCTGTTGTCTCTGCTCCCTTCCCAGAGTGCCTGGAAGTGGCCACTGTGGCTGACACAGCTGCTTCACCATCCTCTGGCTGATTCCCTGAGCCGTCGACCCTGTCACGGCTTTAAATTACAGAATGCGTGCTTCTGGAAGCGGAAAAAGCCAGCCTTGTATAGCTTAGCTTCCGAGGGAAGGCCTGGGAGATAGATCTGTCTCCTTATATAGATGCTGGGAGCCTCTTCTTTCTTTGCTGTGACGGGGGCAGGGGAGCCAGGAGTCGGAGCCGGTGGGCGTGGCCCGGGGAAGCGGCCTCCCTGCCCGGATGGGAAGGCAAGCCCATCAGCGGACAGTGACCGCGGCCGGATGGAATGGCTCCGTGGGGAAAGCCGCCCTTGGAAAGAGAGTAGGTGCTGATTTTTGCACTGGTTTAGAAAGCCTCTCTCCTCCGGTTATTTAGGTCCTGCCCAGTGCAGTGGGCAGACCCCCGGGAAGCCCGTGGAGCTTCCTTTTTTGCGACGGGTGCTTCTGTGTTTTGTTCATAAAGTCCTTCTATTTTTGCCCCCGTCCAGCTCAGCTGCCTTAGGGGAACCTCGGGGTTTCTGTTTCACAGATGAGGAAGTGGCCACGTGAAAAACTCAAACAACGAATGTCCTCCCTCTGTCATTTCTTCCCACGAGACTGCACCCTCTCACACTGATTACAAACTCCTTCCCGGCAACCAGGGTGACACTTACCCCGCCTTCTAGCCCCCGAGCCCCAGGGCACACAGGTAAACACGGGATGACTGACTATTACAGTCACGGCCACTTGGAGAGGCCACTGAGCCCTTAATTATCACACAGGTGGCATTACTGAATAAAAAAGTGGTCAGCCATGTGGCCAACCGGCCATAGAATAAGAATCCCTATAAATGTTCTGCAGCATCTTAATGACCAAGAAAGGTCCCTGCGCACGTTGCATATTAATTATCAGAAAACTTGGCTGCAGCAGCTTCATTGAAATATAATTTGCAGCAGCTTCATTAAAATATAATTCACACACCATATCGTCTACCCCTTTAAAGTGTGCAGTTCAGTGGTTTGGGACTATTCACAGAGTTGTGCAACCTGTACCTGAATTTCGGAACATTTTCATCAACCTACAGAATACCCCTCACCATTAACCGGTTCCTCCCATTCCCACCGTCCCAGCCCTCGGTGGACACTGGCCTACATTCTGCCTGCAGCTTCGACCATTCTGGCCGTTTGATATGCCCCCAGGAGGAGCCTCTCACGACTGGCTTTTTCCTGGGCATACTGTTTTGAGGTGTGTCCGTGCTGTAGCTGTGTCGCATTCCTTCCTCCTTATGGCGGAGTAATATTCCACGTGTGGCTCCACCACATTTCGCTTATCCATCCTCAGCCGATGGCCATTTGGGTTGTTTCCACTTGGGCTGCCGTGAGCAATCTTGCTGTGACCGTTGCACCCCGTTTCTGTGTGGAGAGCCCCAGCTTTGCGGTAGCAGATGGGTCCCCAGGCAGCATTCCTCCGATGATAGTAGGAAAATGCGTTTTCTCTCCTTTTCCTTCTAGTCAGAGCTGCTACAAGAGTCCAATCTGATCATGGCCAAGCTGAACTACGTGGAAGGAGATTATAAGGAAGCTCTCAACATCTACTCGAGGGTGGGCCTCGATGACTTGCCGCTGACAGCCGTCCCTCCCTACAGGCTGCGGGTGCTGGCGGAAGCCTACGCCACCAAAGGTGAGGCCTGCGCCATCTGTCCCGGGAGGGTGTCCCCCAGGGCCGTGCCGTTTGGAGCCTGCGGTTTGACCCTGGGGCCCTTGGCTGGGGATGGGCTCCCAGCAGGGCGCCGGGCTGGGCCCACGGCTGGCACTGGGTAATGTGCGGCCCAGCAACACGCGGTTTCCTCAGAGCCTAGGTCTCCAGTTATCACTGAGGAAAGGAGAGAACAACATCTCAGCCAAGTTTTCTGATAATCAGTATGCAACGTGCACAGGGACCTTTCTTGGTCATTACGATGCTGCAGAACATTTATAGGGATTCTTATTCTATGGCCGGTTGGCCACATGGCTGACCACTTTTTTATTCAGTAATGCCACCTGTGTGATAATTAAGGGCTCAGTGGCCTCTCCAAGTGGCCGTGACTGTAATAGTCAGTCATCCCGTGTTTACCTGTGTGCCCTGGGGCTCGGGGGCTAGAAGGCGGGGTAAGTGTCACCCTGGTTGCCGGGAAGGAGTTTGTAATCAGTGTGAGAGGGTGCAGTCTCGTGGGAAGAAATGACAGAGGGAGGACATTCGTTGTTTGACTTTTTCACGTGGCCACTTCCTCATCTGTGAAATGGGTATAATCACATCCACGTCATAGGCTTGTGAAGATTGCATCACATATTGTACGTGAAGCACTGCCGCAGTACCTGGCACGCACTAAATGCTGCTAAATGACATTTTAAAATGTCAGCCCCAAACAAGGCAGCAAGTGGTGGAAGCTGGGCACAGGTGACAGCTTTTCAGGAGCGGTCACTGCAGGCCAGCAGGGCCCGGAGGCCTCCTGCAGGAGGAGAGATGCTCTGGCCTTCTGACGGCCATGGTGAGAAGTGGACCGTCTGACACAGCCACCCACTGTTCACACTGCATCGTGACTGACTGTGGCTGGCCCGGAGGCCTGGCCCTGGGTGGGCGACCCTCCGACCAGCAGTGCGCTGGCCACTTGTGTGCTGCCAGCCGTCTGACCTGGTGTCCTGTGCAATGCTGAACAAAGACCCAGCTCCAGACACACTAAGACTTTGTGACGGGGGTGACACAGTCCCCAAGTTCCCCGGGGAACGCGAATACTGCCAGGTTCGCCTAATTAATCCTCTAAACGTCCCCGTGGGCTGGGAAAGATGCTGTCACTCTTGACAGGGCATGCTGGCTGTTTACTGGGCACAGTCCTTTCAGGCTGCCTCGGGGGGTCCTGAGAGCGCCCGGCCTGTGTCTGCATCCGTCTGAGTCACAGTGTGTGCTGGGGTCTGTGCCACAGAGCTGCCCTCCTCTCTCTCGGGTGCTCACTGAGCCACTGCACGTGCCGTGGCTTATGGGAGGGGTGTGTGTGTGTGTGTGTGTGTGTGTGTGTGTATTATTTCAGGCCAAGAATGATATTCTGCAAAGCTTCCTCTGGCAGTTTCCAGCTGCCTGATTGACGTGGGGCCCGGTGCAGCGTAGCCAGAAGTTGGTTTGCTAGCTGGGGTGGGGGGATGGCTCTAGGGCTGCTTAGCAGCAAGAGCTCAGATCTTAGTGTTGGCTCTGAGACAGCCTGGTGGTAGCAGACTGTCTACAAGTAGCACTGCCAGCTTAGTCTTATGGCGGCCATGCAAAGGGAGCGAGGAGGACAGGAGACTTGGTCCCTGGGTCTGGCCTGGTGATATGCAGTTAGCAGTGGGTCCCCAGCCCTGGATGAGGACCTGGCTCCTGGGACCCACTGGCTGGCTCGGGGGAGACCCGGCCCTGGCTAGTTTCTGACTTTGTAGACACATGCGGAGTCACAGGTGTACAGGGACAGGGAAGGGTCACATTTTCCTAGAGGAAGTGGCTGCAGCCGTGGAGGCCCCAGGCCTCGAGAGCCTGGGCTGGCCAGGTGAGAGGCTGC